TTGGATCGTCCTCAAACAGATTAAAAAAATCTCGCGTGTAAAACTTAGATCGAAACAAGAGAGATATTTCTTAGAAACATGACACATCGAAGGTAAGAAATCTCGATACAAAAAGGGTTAATGTTCTTGCTTGCCATAGTTATCGCAAAGCGACAGCTTAACAACTGCCTATATCAGGTTAATGAGGTCTGACATACAGGAAGGAAGTCCTCAAGTTACTTGAAGTATTAACCGCTTCGATAATGGATATACTCCTTGCTAAGCAGAAAGCAGCTTCTGATACGTTTTCCTAGCTTTGAAACTGGACCCCGTTCTTTCTACACCTCATGGTCGGTTTCTATAGGAGGAGCGTTACCCTCATGACTTTGGATATTTGAGGCACTCTGTAGAACCAAGACATGCGTAACTCTGAGTTCGTCAGAGAACTTCTTCAACTTGGCGGTGCTGAGTAAAATATCGTTAGTTACTCGTTGGCACCACCGAAATTTGAGGATGTTGCGCAAGCAGCGTTACTCGAAGCAGTTCAGCTGACTTGTTCTTGGCTTTTGTGAACTCCAGCTGTTCCGAGGTCATTCAAACGACAGGAGAAGTCAGTTTTATCGATATTGAGCAGCTTTTTCATACTATACATAGCCTCGTAAAGTTCTCAGAAAGAGGTAGGACGACATTCATGCTAGAAACAATAATTCAAGTCCACCACTCACTGAGAATAGCCACATGATTGTGGATGTCGGCAGTCTACGACTACGAATGACCTACAACAATTGTCAATCGAGTTGTCAAACCACCATTAACCGCTTTGCCGATGGACGCCTTAAAGCATATGCAAATTGAAGGTCATGAATCTGTATGTGAAGTTCTATTTTGAACAAGAAGTCTTCACGGAAGAAAAATATGACTGGAAGTGCAGTGAAGAATAAAATTTAAAATTTATCTTATTCGAAAAGAATTTACGTCAGATAACCAATTGATTATCAATGCAGTTAACACGCTGCATGAAGTCACGAAAGCACTTACCATAAAAATTCAGATACTTGACCGCATACAACGCAGTCAAAGATGATCGGAAATCCAGAAAACACGTATCCATTGCGCAGATGCCTTAAGAAAGCGAGGTTACTAACATATTCACCAAGAAACGTCTGAGGTTTCTCGGCTCCGGTGATTTCCACCTCAGGACCTGTTCCGGTTTCAACTGAAGAACAAATATGAGCAGACGAAAAATAGACTCAAGACTGTGTTCTCACTTTGGAGAACGCTGAGCTGAGCTTCGGAATATGCGGAACCTTCCGAGTTGACCGCCGTACATTTGTACTGGCCTTCGTCCTCGAGGTCTGCGTTGAGAATAGCGAGTCGCTGAAATCCCCAACTATCGGTCCAGGTGAGTATACGATCCGAAGGCACGAGTTCTTGGCCATTTTTATACCTGCGTACCTTGGCATTCATCTAAGAAAAGAAAGATACCACCGGTCACTTACCATTTCACAACGGGAGTCGGGCGTCCAGTTACTAAACATTCTAACTCAGCCGCTGTATTCTTTGCAATCGTCAGGTCATGTAGTCCATAACGGAATCTTGGTTTTTCGTTTTCTGGCTCTTCTTCTTCAACAATAGGTTTGGCTTCCTCCTCAGCAGCTGAAAGTGTAAAATTAGGTGGAAATACTAAATAATCAA